TATATAATATATATATAAATATACTATATATTTAATACTATATTATAAAATATATATATAAATATATATATAACAAGTATATTACTATTTTATTATTATTTTCTATACTCTCTAAATATTGCTTATTGCTCTTATATACTAAATTATTATTATATTAATATATATTATATAATTAATATTTTATCTTAATATTTTATATACTAAATATTTTTATTTTTACTTTTATTATACTACATTTTCTTACTTACTAATTACTATTATTCATTGACCTTAAGTATCTCTACTCTCTATTCCCCCTACATTCTTTTCATTCTGCTATTCACTCTACAGCTATTACTTATCCTCTCCGTCTATTATCTTCTCTTCTCTTTACTCATTTATCTTCACTATACTTACTCCCTCATCTATACTTCCTCTCACCACTCTGATCAACTTATATCTCTTCATCTTTCTTTTTTTCTCTCTGGTCTCTCAGCTCTTAACTCAATCTACATTTACCTCTCCTTTTCTACTCCTATCTCTCCATCTCTCTCTTTACTACTCTTCTCAATAATATATTTATATATATATATAGTACCTTTAGGGATATCCAAACATACTACCTGTAGTCCAATATCACACTCCACTAGGTATATATTATTTGTATAGAGTATATTAGCTATACCTAGTGTTAGACATATAGTTATGGTATTATAGGATTATGGATAGTTATACGCTATAAGCTAATATATAATATATATATAGGACATACATACACACACACATATATATACACAAATGTATTTATTCAATTACTTATCTATCTATTTACTTAAGTATTTCTCAAGGCAATCCTTTTATTTAATATCTCACAATATACAATAGCCAGCCTTTATTCACAGGCTTGATTGCAATTAAACACACACCCATGTCAGTGCTTATAAATACATTTATAGACATGTATATGAATATCACTGAAAATATATATATATACATACACACATCTACCCATGTATAAATATGTACACATTACATAATATCACAGATTTCTTTTCCTTCATCTAATATCCTACACTTCATTTTCTGTTTAAACCAAGTTCCTCAAACCACTAAAAAAAAAACCCTCAAACAATAATTTAGAATAAAACCAAAATTCACAGCATGGGAGACATTTTCTACTCTCACCGCCTCTCGTCACTAATTCGGCAGCAGTGTCACAAAGGCAAACTATTCTGTTTATGGACATATCTCTAATGCTTCTAACACAAGCACTGAGTAAAGGTTTTCTGCACTAAGGAAATGTATTTCAGTCTCCCCTAACTATAAAATCTGCTGACGTTAATTATCCTCATTGCAGTAGTTTCCCTTCTAACTTATTTAACTGCACTAAAATCTACTTACCGAAGTTCCCCAGGAATAATGACACTATTGATTGATAAAAAATATAACCATAATAATAATAATAATTATGATGATTAACATTGATAAAAATCAATCATTACCATCATCATCATGATAATAATAATGGTGATAATGACAACACACTGCAATAACTGCTCTGAGAGGAGACAAGTATTTCCAGAATGAATGCAATCACTCACCATCGCAACCTTCCCTCTACGTGAAGAAGGCAATATTATGCTGCACCGCAAAATCTTAATCCGCTTCAGTAAGCTTAACGGTGAAGCATGCTTACCTAACTTTCATTTAAAATTATAAATCTGGTATTAATAACAAAAAGAGATGGATGGGACTAAATGACACTTAATAAAATAAAAAAAAAAAAAAATAATAATAATAATAATTCAAGCATGACTGCACCAGACACATACATGCAAACAACACTTTAAGACATACACATATATTGATTAATATAAATATATGTATATATATATATATATATATATATATATATATATATATATATATATATACTATTATAATATATATTATATATATATATATACAACACATATAAACATATATATTTATTATATCGTTATTAATATCTTAATTATATACCTCTCTCTATATTAACTCCTCTCTCTTCCTCTCCTATACTTCTCTCTATCTTATTCATATCATCTCTACTTATACTCTCTATTCTCTATTCATAATTACTACTCATCACTATTACTTAACTTACTCTCAATCTAGTATCTCTATACACTACATACTATCTTATAGTCTATTTCTCTTATATCCAGAACACACATATTCACAAACTTATCACATACTCATCCTATCTCACACTCACTGTCACCTCCATCTCTCCTATTCTAACCACTCACACTACTATCACACATCTCTCTGCTCTGTTGCAAATAATCCACACACGACACACATCCTACTATCTCTCTCTCTTTCTAATCTCTCTTTCTTCTCTCTCTTTGCTAATCTTCTTTCTCTCTCCTTCACATTGCTAACTCTCTCACTCTTACTCTCACTCACTCTATGCTATCACACACACTCACTTCACTTCATACTTCATATCTCATTATTGCGATATTCATCTCTTATCATCTACTATATCTACTATATATGCTAATCATCTTCATTTATCTATGCATCTCTCTTGCTCACCTCTCTCCTTCTATTCTCCTTTTGATATATTCTTACATTATCATACCATCATCTATATCTAATCACAATGAGAGCCACAACTGTCAACAACTAAATATCCTATAATCAACACTATCATCTGATAGATGAACCGACAATATCTATGGTCATTTCAACAATCATACATTCTTTTCTACAAATCATACTCTAATTGGCGATTATCTATTATTGACCTCTCCTTTGCTACACTCTGCTTTCCTCTCTCAGTTACAAATGGTTCTCTCTCTCTCTCCTGTGGCTTATCTGGTTTTTATCATCTTTGCAAAATCTAAATCATTCACTTCTCAATGACTTATATTTCTACATCATGTTATCACTCCTACTGCTCTGCAATTTTCGATTTAATGTCTTCTTCATTGTCTTCGTCTTTAGAGAACTGATAATGCAAATCACTTATTTCTACTCCTATCCGATTTCTTGACTAGTCTATGTCTCATTAATCTCTCTACCATGGCATTTTGCCTATCCCGTATCTATGCTACTCGTCTGTCTTATATGTCTAATCTATCTCCTATAAATGCCTCTCTACCTTTGGACACTCAGCTACATCTATTCTTCATCACGTAAATAATTGTCTTCAATAAGGTACATTTTGGTCAAATAATTTTCTGTCTAATCTCTTCACTATCACAAATCTCACATCAGTACCTTTGCACGTTAGTATCTTCTAACGAAAGTCTACAACTGCTACTTACACTCTTGCTAATCCTCTCTTTCTCTTCCTCTTTGCTCTGTCAATTACTCACTTTCTCTCTCCTTCTCTCGCATTTGAATCTAGTCAGAAAGTATCTCGTCATCTCTTCTCTATCGTCTCTATTTGACCTAATCATCATTCCCGACCCGTCATGACTCGGAACATCCTCTCTCGGAGGGTCTCTCAAACTACATCTCATCACTACTCGACAGATCTCAACCTATCCCTCACTCTACACACACACACACACATCCACACATCTACATCCATACACCTGTACTCGACAGCATCACCACACATCCATCCACTCACTCTACCTCACACAGTCTTTGTCTAACACTACCATCACACACCCACCACTATCAAAACTACCACGATAAATACGGCTATGCTAATAGATATAATTACTTCTTTCCCTTCTCTTTGTCTCTTTTTTTTCTTGTGACGCAAAATACTCTCTCTTATATCTCTCTCAAAATAGATCATTAAGTAAATAGGGAGCAACAAAATTTGCATGAAAAGGATAACACATGAACACTTCATATCCGCATCTACCTCTTTTCTGGTTTAACAAGTCCATCTCATCAGAGAAATATCGTCCTCATCTTCCATTCTTTATCTTCTACTGTTCATCCCGATTCTCTCTCAAATATATTTCATTGACTGTCCTCTCGATCTTTATCATAATAAATCTTCTTGAGCCATTCCTTATTGTCCTAAATCAATATATATCATATACCATTCCCATTTTTCTTCATTCTATCTTGACAAATTGTGTAAATATTGATACTAAGAGGAGTACATAAATCAAAGCTCTGTATAATACATAAAAAGCTATGCTCTCTTATATTCTAAAATCACTTCGATACATCTCTTATTCACGCACATGACTTGATTCTTACTCTCGTTTATACTGAAGACTTCATACATAATCTTTTCTATGACTATAATCTTACTTTTCTTATGACTATGCATCTCTTTTCTCTATACTACTATTATATTCTCAGGACAATATTTCTTTTGAAAAACTCTATACTCTCTGTCCCTCCTAACATTTTGAATGTCATGTCTCCGTTCTTGCCACCGTCGATGCTTTAAATAATATCTCAGGTTCGCGCCCATCCCTAGAGGTTCCCTCGTACTGTCTGCGGCCAAATCTGCAAACACAAAACTAGACATAATAAAGAAATAGAGCTGTTCCACTGAGTCGTGCATTCTACTTTTCCACTAATTAAATATTTTGTGATAAAGGAAAATACATATTTTGAAAATATATACACATGAAATATAACGTGAACACTGACAGATTTATCAAAGAAAAGGAAAAAAGTTATAATAAAGCAATGATTATCAAATGCAGTTTTTTCCCTTTCCTTTATAATACAATTTATGGTAGGCTACTGAGTGGGTCCTTATTCCAATACTTATTTTACATTTTTGTGTCACTCCTCGAGTCCATATATATATATATATATATATATATATATATATATATATATATATATATATATATATATATATATATATATATATATATATATATATATACATATATATATATATATATATATATATATATATATATATATATATATATATATATATATATATATATATACATATATATATATATATATATATATATATATATATATATATATATATATATATATATATATATATATATATATATATATACATCATA